AAACCCTACAAACCCTACAGCGTTTGCTGTAGCAGGTGTCCAGGAAAACCCGGGCGGCCATCAGTACGGACCATCAAGTACGTGCTCATTGTCATTTGGGTGTCTGTCTTCAGGAACTTCCAGTTCAAATGTCTGGCCCGTTTTCTTAAATTAGGTTGTTTGAGTTTTGTCATTGATTTGTGAGCGTTCTTTACATATTCTAGACCGGAGTCCTTTTTTGGGTTACGTGTGCTGCAAGTATTTTCTCCCAGTCTGCGCTTTGCCTTCTGACTCCCCTAATGGTTTCTTTGAACAAACCAAGTGGTTACAAATAAAATACTACATGTTTAATTAGAAATACATTTTACAGGCCAGAAGGTTAACATGAATCGTTGAGGAGACAGTCCGCCAAAGTTGCTCCAGGTTTTCCACGGGAAGGCAGAGGGAATGAGCCTGGCTTCACTCACAGATAAAGTGGTGAATGTTGCCCGAAGCACCCTGACGTGTTCAGGGTCACCTGGTGCGGCAGCCCCAGCTCTGCGCTCCTGACCCTGGTCTGGGGAGATGTCTGCCAGGGATGTTTCTGGAAGACGCATCCCTTGGCCCTCGTTAGGGTATTTCTGAGCAGATCTGCAGGGTTGGCATATGCAGCTCCCCATTTGAAGTTACAAAACCTCATTTCCTGCCGAGGCGGATGGAAAAGACTGGGGACGGGGAGGTCTCTGTTTACATCTTGTCCACTCCGGCTGGTCAGTCATTTGTGTGGCCACATGGTGTGGAATGCGAGCTTGGCCACCCACGGGGCTCTCAGAGGACGTGTGTCCCCTGCCCAGGGCCCCCGGGCCCACCTCCGGGTCTTCTCAGATTTTCCCATGGGGACAGCGGGTGCTGGCAGGGGCCGGGTGAGCACAGCCGGCAATCACGGCCCAGGCTTTCTGGGCACAAATATTTGGAGCCTCAGAACCCTACTTGTAGGTACAAACCCCAAAGAACTAGAAATGGGTGTGGACACAAAAATGGGTGGAAATGGGCGTTCACAGCAGGGAAGGGGCTGGAAGCAAACTGTCCATCAGCGGACAGACGTGTCCACCGTGCATGCGCACGTTGGCAGGAACAGCAGCGAGGCGCCCACCCCTGCCACCCTGGGGACGGACCCTGAACACATGACACTCAGGGAGGGAACCAGACACGAGAGGCCACACGGGGTGTGAGTCCACGTGTGTGAAACGTCCAGATCGTCCACGGAAGGGAAGGGGGCTCGTGGTGCTGGGGGAGGGGAGAGGGGGTGATGGGGACGGGGTCTCCTTTGGAGATGGAATGTTCTGGAACTAGAGACAGGACGGCTGCACAGCCTTGTGGATGCCACTTTAAAATGGTTAATTCTATGTTACGTGGATTTTACCTCAATTAAAAGATAGGTTCAACACTTGCAGCTTCTCTCTGCAGACGCAGAGGCCCACGGACGGGCCTGGTCTCCGTCTGACGTGTCCCTGGGCGCACAGAGCTGCTGCTCTCCGCTTCGTTTCTTTCCTCTTTGTCTGTTCTTGGACCCTGTCTTGAATCGGTGTGGCTGAGCCCCGGGCAGTTTTCCATGTGCGTGTGTCCCTGGGATACCGTGACCACAGCCGACAGACTGTGAAATGTGTCTTAGAATAAAAGCGCTCACAGTGTGCAGAAAGGTGCCAGACGCACAGTGGCCCGCCGGCCCAGGGTCCTCTGTCCAGAACCAGCATCTGACTTGACACAGAACCTTCCAGAGAAGATGGTATATCACGAGCTCGGGCCCCCGCCCCAGAGCCCTGCTCCGACCAGGCCACCGCCTGCCCTTCCCCGCGGACACCTGCACATGAGCCCTCGCATGACCACCTGCATATGGTGGCAGGCGATGCCCTGACCCGGGTTGGCGGATGGGGGAAACCGAGGCTCAGGAGCTCACAGAGCCAGCCGGCTGCCGGGTCCCAGGCCACCTTATTAGGGTGAAACCAAGGCCTCTGGTTGCTGTGTTTTTAGGGACGGAAGGTATGTGTATGTGTAAGAAGCTTAAGGTAGGAGTCAGCAAACAGAATGTGTGGCTGGAGCTTGTGGGTTCCTGACCCCCGCCTGGGCTCTCCGAGGGGCGGTGCCGGCCGCAGGAC